AACTGGTTGGTTTTAACCTTCATCTGAACTTCATGCGCTGCCCTACGTCAAAGGAATTTATTCATTCAATTGTTGTGTTGCCTAAGAAACTATCTCAAAGATGTATGGCTTCGTCCAGCACGCTATTACGCCGTTGTTACATCAGATTAAAGGATTCCGTAGAAATTTTCTCCGCTGAGGCCATGGCCTTAGTTTGATCTGATGTAGGTCTGCGACCTTGCAAGGTAAACCTGGATTTTTTTGTGTCAAGCGATCCGCTATTTTTTTCTTAATTCACGCGGCCGCGCCGCGGTGTTTGGAAACCATTCTGGAATAACCTTCGGGGGTTCAAACTGACCCCGCCGACCTGAGCGTGCGTTAAAGATCTACTTTGGCACAATGGAACTTCCACTGTCCAAGCACCCTAATCGCTGCTGTGTAACCAAAACCACTGGGGCTAGCTAAACAATGTGCATTAGATGACACTGTTGTGACTTTGTATGTGCGCTATGTACAGGCTTGGAATTAAGGACAATGGCAAAATAATATTTCAGTTAGCAAAGCACTTAATGTGCTTTTTCTGGCTGGAATCCTGGCTGGCCGAAGGTGGCCGGGAAGTAGGTTATTATTTTTGAAAAGTGGTATCTTTGGTGTGAACAGATGAGTGTGACCAAAGTGGCTTAAAAGGTCAGCTGATGAATAGCAACCGAAACCGCTTCACACAAATGCATGGAATTCGTTAAGCCTGATCACGCCAGTGGGTTCCAGTTCGTTCTCTTAGACCGGATCCGGAGGAAGTCCCCTGATCTGGAGTAGGCCAGCTGCTGCAAACCAGAGTTTGAAGCATTAAACCGGGCCAAATTGTATGCCATCACTTTATCTGGGGTATCAGTGCGCGCGCGCTTCTGTTCTTGGTCGGCCGTGGTTACTCTACTCCAATTTTGTGTTTAGACTCGGAAAATTCCGCATGTTTGCAGGAGACTTTAAAAATCTCGATAGCAGTGGGACCAAAGCCAAGTTAGGCTGCTTTAGGCAAATTGTTTTCACTTCGTGTGAAAAAAAAATGCTCAAGTGAGGGCCGCCGGCTCCACTGGGCGACTTTAATGCTTATTTTTAGTTGTGCCGACTTTTCTTTTTAGCACTTCCCCATCAGCAAGCATGCTTGTTCATTGGTTCTCTATCTATGCGGGTCCTCCCGCCCTTCCTCCTGAAGTGTCCTCTATCTGCATTGCAGCCTCTCCTCCCGTCCCTCTCCCTGCTCCATCCTCCATTTGCAGTGTAGCTCTTCCTCCCTCCTTCTTCCCGCACCGTCCCCCATCTGCTCGGCGACCCCTACTCTAGATCCTGCTATTACGCCGTCCTTCGTATCCAACATGGATCCTCCTCCAGCTCATCCTTATGGGCTTTCCTTCACCTGTATGGTGGCTCATCCTCCCGCGCCGGACGGTTCTCTGCCTTTGGGACTCCTCCTGCTCTTCCTCCTGAACCGTCCTCTTGCTACGATGCAGCTTTTCCTTCCGTCCCTCTCAATGCGCCAACCTCCATATGCTGGCCGGCAGCCCCTACTCTGGATCCTCCTCCGGTACCGTCCCCGATCTGAAACACGGATCTACCTCGCTGTCCTCTTTTTACGGGGCGGCCCCTCGCGCTGGTTTTCCTCCTGTCCCGTACTCCCTCCGTGAGGTAGACCGTTCCCGTTTCTTGTCCAGCAGCATCTTCCATCTGCAGGGTGACTTCCCGTTTCGCTCTTACTCCCGCAACGTTGTCCACGTTCGCTTCTAAAAATAGCCGCATTTTCTTGGACCCTATCATCAGACCCTTTGAAACGTATCTTCCACTTGAACTGTGCATTTCTTAACATCTTTCTACGGAGAAATCTGAAAAGACGCGTTTCAGTGGCAAGAAGCACAAACACACTTTAGATTGGGATCCGATCGCCTTTGTTTGTTGTATGGTCAACATGTTCATCTTCCCAGTTACTGGCGCCCAGACGCACCGTCCGGAGCCAGTGAATGAAATGAAATTGACCAATAAAACGGTGGTTGTAGGCGTTCACAGCGCGTACGTTTTCCGACGGCTGACTTGAATAGCTCGGCGGCGGTGATTGGGTGATCGATCAATGGCAGTTAGACGTCGCGGAAAAGCGGAATTGTAGCCCATTGGGCGAACTTGATGTTTGAAAGGCTAGGTGTACGCAATGATTAAGAATGAGTGGTAATTACAGGCAATGAATCCGCGCATGCGGTGATGCAAATTTAGATGCGATGCTGGCAATGGTTTCGACGACAGCGTGTTGCATTTGGCGCCATTTTCACGAATCTCAACATGCCCAGCTCGCACGACGATTACCGGTGCAACAGTGCGTTGCACAGTCTTGTGTTGGCTACATGAAAAGCAGGCGGTACATTTGTTGACGATTTGAAGTTGGCTTCACGTTGCCACCGGCTCCTGCTGACGGGGAGGTGGAATAAAGCGTGAAAAAATGGTCAAGAACGGAAAAATATACCTTTCTCGCCGCTGCGCACGCGGTACGTGACGCGTGCGGCGTCAAGAGCGGCATCACGCGATTCTTTATTTCGCTCTTTACCGAGGCGTGTTGATTGAGCGTCGCTCTGACCCATGGTTGCCGAGCTGCGGCCGCAGTTTCGAACGGCCGTACGCCGGTATTAACGGTGCTCGATTTCTTGCGCCCTCATGCCAAACCAATCGGAAAAAAACCATTTCTAACACGATCAGGCACCGCCCGTTGGTCACACCGGCACGAAACTCGTCATGGCTCGTCGTCACGTGCGCACGTGCTCTGTGTCGAATTTAAACCTTTGTACGTCACATCGTTTGACCTGCACACGGGGGTAAGGAAAAAGATGACACAGATGCACTTTACTCAAGTAGTTAGATTCCAAGAGGCCTGGGCGTATTAAAAGTATTGGTTCATTCAGCATCAGCTCAGAGACAAAACGTGCATAACAACACGCGAGGAATAAACACGCGCCGGCCAATCATTTTTCCTGAACATTTTTTTTTTTAACTTCCGCATCGATGAACGTGGAAGGTTGCTACACTAATGACCTGTCCATAACACTTTCATGCACCTATAGATGACTGAGCGTGCTCGCTGCCTCGCTGCCTTGATGGCGCCTTGAAGGTCAGGTAAAACCGTGAGCGTATCGTGAGAGATCCATACTGAGCAAAAAATGTTACTGTGGATATGTAACGCATTATGACGAGCCCAGCTTCACCGTGTATCTCACGAACGACTGTATGCACGCTTGTGCGAGTGGGCAGTGAGACACCCAGAGGCGCTGTCAGGCTCAGTCGCCGTTTGCCATCGTCACAATAAGACATTCGGGTTCGCCAACCAGTGAGACGCGACTGAGCGCTGCTCAAGGACTGCCGCGCGCGTGTCCTATCGCGTCATCTCCTCTGACACGGGAGGAACCCCAGCCACCAAGGTCGAATGACGTCACGTGCTTCCCGGCCGGACGCTTCGCTTCAGATGTGGAGCGCTTCGTGACACTCGGTTACGCCACGAATGTTTTCAGCCAACGCGACGAGATTTTACCCTCAGCCTGGCGTAGACGAGCCAGCGAAATGCCGATCTCCTCAAGGCAAAGAAGTTCGCTACGAAAGAACAACGCGACTGAATCAGCGGCCTTCTTTTGCTGGCTTCCTGACGTTGAAACGAGTCATCAGTAAGATTGGGGTACGGTAGGTATAAGGATAATGGAAGACCCTACCACTCAAGTTGAGGGGGAAACGGTAATAGCCACTTTGTTTTGTTATTTCCAGTCGATGTCGATAGGCTAATGCTAACTTACCAGAAAGTAGGGGTGGGGGCGGGGGAGGGAGCGGGGCGGGGCACAGCCTCCTAGCCTCATAATGCCCGCACCCCTGGATAGGTGCGGCAATGTGAGGGGCAATCGATGCTTGCAATCGACGCTGCAATCGGGCCTGTGGGGCAATCGATGGGCGACGTGCATCCAACCGCATCTAATGTTATGCCTCGGGGTCAAAGGTTCAGCAGCCCACCAATGATCTGGGACGTTGGTCGCTCCCAGCAGTGTGGAGCTCTTATATAAAACCAGCCACACCTGCTTGTGTTAAGCTTTTGTCGCTGCCCGCGGCCGGGGAAATGTAGGATTTTCCAGGCATTTACGTCATCCAGGCTCTGACAAACTGGCCTGCTTTCATCTTACACCAGTCGTTCGCAGATCTTCGAAATCTGCGAAAAAACAGCTGCAGTGGGCATGCAGGTGGCGTTCTTATCTCCCCTGTGCTGCGCTCTGGTCCTGATCGGAGTCTTACTGGCGGGCATGAACATGGACTGCTTTTATAACGGTCTAAGGTTGGCAGAGGAGTGGCTGTGGTGTTTTTTCTCAACCAGACATGCCACATCTCGAAGATTACGTGCCGAAAAACTGCTCGCCTGCAGGGGCGCATGATCAAGCAAAGGGCTCGTTCATGGTGTCATACAGTATGCACGTTCATTAGAGTGACACGAAACAAAGATGAAGCATGGCATGTCCTATTCTTCCGTAGCAAAAACCAGACACATCACCAGTGTGCGGACGGATGCCGAGCTTATTGCCCTTCGCCCACCATACTGATCAATCAGCGTGAGTGGGAGGGCCGATCACAGCTGCAGCGTGCCTGTCCGTGTCCCCCACCTCCGCTGAGAACCGGCACAGTGGCATCGGGCTGCTAAAGGTCACAACAGCATCGGGATTCCCAGCATTGTAAGCCCGGCACAAGGGCGTTCAGTCGTCAGGCTGCGTGACCGGTGCGACTCGCCGGATGACCCAGGTGTGGTGAGGCAGCGTTTGAGGCGCCGCGATCCGCCACGTTCGTTGCATTGAACATGAGGGATGTGTCTGCGTCCCAGCCCCTGGCTGTGAGAAACCTTTCACTGTTTGGACCTGCGAAAAGCTAACCACAGCTCCATCAGAAGCCAAGGATCTCAAATTTTATCGGTACAGCCCGCTCACAGTTCTCACCGATGGCAGCCGGCACGCGGCTCTCACCTGTGAGAAGTTGAACGGCGCCTTCGTCGTGGTGACGTCACTGTCATTCTTCTCCGAAACGTTCTTCCCGGACACCTCCACCACACACTTGCCCAGCGTCAGGGGCTCTGCCGTCAGCTGGGTCAGCGCCTTGTACGGCATGACCACCTCGCTGGACGCCCTGACTGCGTACAGCTTGACCACGAGCTTGCCGAGACTGACGCTGACGCCTTTCGGTGTCGGTCCAAGCCAGAGGTGCACGGCGTCTCGCGGCCGGCCGCTGGCGCCGGGCTGGCGTCGTGGCCGGCTCAGGTGCGCCAGCGGTGCCAGCACAAGGTCGTCCAAGCAGAACGACTCGTAGGTGAGGTGGCTGTCAGCGCCCAGCACCTGCGACTCGGCGTTGGTGATGTAGACGCGCAGGATCTGACACAGCACCTGGAGCGAGGCGGCGTTTGTGATGTAGACGCGCAGGATCTGACACAGCACCTGGAGCGAGGCGGCGTTGGTGATGTAGACGCGTAGGATCTGACACAGCACCTGGAGCGAGGCGGCGTTGGTGATGTAGATGTGCAGGATCTGACACAGCACCTGGAGCGAGGCGGCGTTGGTGATGTAGACGCGCAGGATCTGACACAGCACCTGGAGCGAGGCGGCGTTGGTGATGTAGACGCGCAGGATCTGACACAGCACCTGGAGCGAGTCGGGAGTAGCCATGACATCCCAAGGGTGACGCTTCGCCCGAGATTATCGCCTAACAACATGAAAGGATCCGACAGCAGTTATTACTTTAGGGTCATCTTTCAATTAATCAATAATGCACAATTAGGAAACTGAAAGAATTGGGCATCCTTTTCCCCGAAGTGTGTGCAAATGTTACCAATCTGCAACATCCCACGTTAGACGCTCTGTATGAGATGACTTGTTGAGAAACAAAACCGCTGCAACTGCGTGCAAGCAGGGCTTTCCGCCCATCCTGGAACTCAAAAGAGGTTCACGACTGCACATGAGCTGTCATGAGCTCTCACTGACCGCAGCAGAGCAGGCCAAGAACTGAGCATGTTCCGTTTCCCACCTCTCTGTCGTGAGGCAGTCGGCCGTCGCGCAGCTCGCGGCGGTACTCGTCCGGGAAGCCGACCACCACATCCGTCAGGCGACCGCTGCGCCCGGTGCACGCCAGCACGGTCACCATCAGGTACCGCCAGGGGTACCGCGGCGCCTCGAGGTACCTCCGCACAGCAGGGTGCGCGCCCTGCAGCTCATTCACCACGGCAGTCACGTGCGCGCAGTCCGGCCCCAGCTGCCCGTGGAGGTCGGCGCCCATCGTGACGCGGTAGGGGCAGAGGTCACGGTCGCCAGAGGCCGGGTCGCAGGCGTCGGAGGTGGGCGTGGCGCGCATGCAGGGGAGCGTCGGCTGCGAGTCCTGCACGCAGTGGCAGGCCGAGTCGAGGTGGCCGCGGCAGCGGACTTTGCAGTCGGTGCGGTGCTTACGGCACGCAGTCTGGTCGAGAAGCAGTGAGTCGGCCTTGGTGAGGGTCACGTGGCTGAGGTCGGGCTCACCCATCCACTGCACCTGTTGGGGAGGGTTGAGGGTTCGGACCGGCGGTGCTTGCTGGCAATTGTCTATCGCGGCTCAGAGCGCGATCGTTTTTTAGTTGTTTTGCTGGCCTGTTGGATGTAGCTTGAGTTGGTAAAGATGCCCGGCTGTTCAGAGCTTGAGTTGCACGGCACAGGTATAATATCCAGGATATTTTTTATTTACCAGTGTGAATGAAACTGAATTAAAACAACGTTTAAAACAGTCTAAAGCCTTTGGTTTGGACCAGGATGCACTCAGCACTACACGCACCACCACTGCGCTGACGCATTCGCGGCTTTAGCCAATTCTACCTTGCGTGCACAGCTTTAAGCGTCCAAATGTGCCTGGGGGTCTCAAATCTCCCCCCCCCCCTCCAAAAAAATTGAGTCCAGGACGCTGGGTTAGTCACCAGCAGGCGTAAGTGATCTTACAAAGTGGGTGGACATATGCATTTTACAAGATGAGGGAGGGCATCCATAACCACGTGGGCCGATACCCAGCTGTTAAGCAAAGAGAGTGATCCACGGCCCAATCGCCCTCCGTGTTCCCATATCTATGACGTCACCGTCCGATCAAGGTGTTTCAGCACCCGTTCGCGGTCGGTTGTCAGCGCTGTCGTCACCTGCAGATCGGCCTGGTATCGCGGGTCGGCAGCAGTCACCAGCAGGCGATAGCCGAGCCTACTGGGGTGGAACAGCGTGTCGACCAATAGCCGGCCGCCGACAGCAAGATTTGGCCAATCATCGTCTGCGGACGGCGTGGCGCGATCGGCGCCAGACTCCGAGCGCCAATCAGCGCTGCTGGCGTCATCCGAAGGCACTCGCAGCAGCGGGTCGAGGAACGTGTGACGCGGCGCGCGCGCTGCCTGGGGCAGCGTGGCCCCGTGACCCAGCCGCGTGCTCGTGCTGTGCAGCAGCATGTGCAGAGCGGTGGTGGCGTCAGCGCAGAACTGGGTAACATCCTGCAGAGTCACGCCGGGTCAAGAGAACGCCGCAAGCTGGTGAATGAGGAAGACGGAGGGCAGGTGTTCAAGCTCATTCTTGTCATGCGACACGGCAGATGTAAGGCCAACTTTAACATTAATAGGGACTGAGGCCGGGCGCTGCATGACCGTATGCGGTAGATGCGTCGAAAAGCTTTACTTCATCATCAGGAGATAGGCCCTTTTTCCCCTCGGCCGGTGTCCTCTCCGACAGAGGCAGGGATAGGGGAAAACATTAGAATGAAGGAATATAGATATGTCGTCACATCATCGGAGGTAAAGATACTGGTCCGGCGTAGAGCAGGAACGGGATGGGAATCATTTGCTCAAGCAAAACACCACTCACATATGGAAAACACTCCCCAAAGCACTTCGCACACAGGTATCACGCAAAAAGATCAAGGAATCTGTGGTAGACCTGATTGGTATTTACAAGCCCAGTTTATACTTCCCATGTTGTTCAAGATTGTAGACTGTTCCTGATTACAGATCTAAAACAACTAAACAGTTCATTTTTTGCGTGCACTTCTTTGACACTTTAGACGCGACCTCTTTCAGCATATCACACAAATATTGGATCACTGTTTCATTCTATTTTCGAACACCGACACTATACACGCATTAAGGTATGGTGCAAACGTCAGCAGAGGGAAAGGTCGGATGTTTGCGTCGTGCTCCCAGGGCTATAACACTAACGCGCTGTAACTCTAGCGAAGGGAGGGTTTCACATTTGTATGGGATTTTGAACTGAAATGGTCATCTTGAATTTTATTCGGTGCAGCTCACAGCTCTGTCCTTAAAACATAAGCCTCTCTAATTTCTGATCTACACGACTGCAGAGATGCGCAGACTATCTCGGGGAGACTATTTCAAGGTCACCCTGACATCCACGACGCTATAATGAGGTCATTTAAATCCTGTCATTCCGTCTATTAGCCATACGTTGATCAAGACCAACAAAAAGAAAACTGTCGAGTCGTTCATATCTGGCGTTTGTGAGCACGATTTTCAGAAAAAACGGCCGTCATCTCGCTCTTAATCAATACTGTGCAAGGTACGGTGACGTAATCAAACAGTGACGTATTGATGAGGATAGTTACTAAACAGAGAAATTATGTTGTCTAGAGCAGTTTTTCCACTTAAAAGTACACCAATAATCATACATGAACTTATTTCATCACATGTGATGTCAGCTTTAATGTCTTCAAATGTGAAAAATTCCCTTCAATTAAGCTCCATCTTCGGCGACTTTATTTTGTTTTGTTTCTTCGATGGCAATGGTGCCCAGATTCAAGTCTTGCGACTTATGCAGCAAACTTGTTGTTTATATTGATGCTAGCGTGCTGCAACAGTCTTTTAAAATACAACAAAACAAACTAACAAACAGTAGGTAACACCGTTTTGGGCATCCGTCGTTCAATATATCATGCGCACACTGAAGCATAGAAGGCATTGCAAAAGACCTTTCATTACAATGGCTGCGTCCGCGCAAAGACGTCACAAATGCAGCAGAAATCATTAATGCCAGGGAATGCGAGGCAGTTGAGGCGCACCACCACTCAATGGTTTATCTAGCAACCGCAAGACCCACGTCACGATTTCAACAGCTCTCACCGTGAGCGTGATGGTTACCTCCCCGCCCACGGCTCGCGCCTTGCACGCGCCGGCCCCGGCCTTCAGCTTAATGCACAGCTTCCTCTCGGCGTTCTTCGCCGTCAGGTCACACTTGGGGTCGTCGGTCTTCACCTTGAGGATGCCGTAGTCAGCCGCCGTCTTGTAGCAGGTGGTGTTCGGGGCCAGCGTGTTCTGGACGAACTTGCTCCAGTTTTCCTTGAGTTTGTTGATGTCGGCCACGTTTTTGTCGCCAGCGATTGCGGTAATGAGCAGAAAATGCAGGAGCTTGTACTGCATTATGCTCGATTGGTAGTGGGATATTGATAAATACAAGCGTGATGAGAACACATTGGATGGTCTTTATATCGTTGCTTGTTTGTTACCCCGAGGACTCAACAATAAAAACGTGAATAGCCATGCAGTAAAAGGGGGATACCGCGTGCGGGGAGGGGGGGGGGGGGGAGAATGACGGACTTTGGACGCAGGCTTTCCATGTGCTGATGGCTTACGCTGCTAGAAGTGGAAAAACGACCACATTAAACGGCTGCAAATGAAAAAATGGAAGCTTTAGTTCTCCGCATCGACTTGGGCCTCCCTTTTGGCTTTCAATAGCGCTAAGAATGTTTATGATGTATTTCATAACCTACGTCAGCTTTACATTTCTATCTCGTGCATTGCAGTTCGATGAACCTTTCCATGACGAGGCTTTGCAAGAAACGCAAAAAGAAGTCCGTCATACTGGAGGATTTTCCCAGAGGTCGCAATCGTAAAAAGTCCGCCATCCTACTCAGAACTAACGAAGTTAAAAAAAGCTGGCAATGACTGATAATCCATCCGAGATGTGCCAACAGAAACCGGATCTGTACAGAGCGATGGAGGCGAGACTCGTTCTCCGTCAGCAAGAGCTATGAATATTTGGCTAATAGCAAGATCAGTGAGATCTACCATATTGCTGGTCGGTTACTATTTCAGGGATTCGAGCTGAGAACAATCCGACATGCTAGCACCAAGATACTTTGCTTGCATAAAATGCTCCAAAAGCTCGATCAGTTCTGGTAATTGCTCCGGACGATTTCATGCATATTGCCTAAAGGCGCTGCTCTTACTCCCCTCTCAACATACTTAGCTTCACGTCCACTGTGCAGTGGCGAACAAACGTGCCCGCGATTTGGCTGCGAGATGCTTTTCGGTCTGCTTTGCTCCTGGTGACGCCCTTAATCATGCAGCCTCACTGCTTCGCTTATGGACGGAGCAAACATTAAAAACAAAAAATTGCATGCCTCGTGCATATCGTAACTATCGCATGAAAGCATGTACACGGTGTCTTTGGGCTGTTCACGGGATGTACTGGTTACATGACGAACCAACCCATGATCAGCAATGTGGCCAAGGGGAGGGATGGCCCAGGGAGCCGTGCTCCCCCTTTCTCTCACCTCCGCCTCCCTCCCTCCCCACCTCTGAGCGAATTCGTTGGCACTAGAGCTGGGCAATTTTAAAGAATTTGATAGAAATACACAGCTTTTATGTTTAGACGTCCCCTCCCTTCCTGAGCAATTTTTGATTTCATGCCTGCATGTAGTATGAATCCGAGCGCTTGTTTTGAGGTCTTCCTCATTTGTATCCTGGCATTTGTATCAAGTGAATGACATATGACTTATATGCCAACCAGACAAAAATTTGCAAAAATCCCACCTTGTGTGCGAATTCAGCCGCCTGCTTCATTCCAGAATGGTGTAAAATTCCCGGAACACCTTCAATCTAAAACAATCATTCCAGCACCAAGTTTCACTCTAAACAAATAATTTCATTCCAGACCTCATTAAACGCTATTCTGAGACCACTATCAGGCAGGACAATTGTTTAGAATTACTTCGAGGAGACAATTTGCATTGGGACATGGTTGCTGGAACTGAATCTTGATCGATTCCCTCGGAAATTTGGTGGCATATATGGCAACCAGCTTCCACGTTCATTTCAGTGAGGAAACAAGCATGCTTCAGCCATAACTGGCACCGAACAGTGGAAATGTTACCACCTTTGCGATTTGTATCCGGCTTACCTCGCCACAAGTCTACAACTGCAAATGTGGGCAGGTCTCACATGAGCACTTTTTAAATTCTAACTCCGAGTTTTTAAATGGGATGTATATCTCAGATCAGTGCCTGTGATAGACAGAGCTTGCAGGGTGAGCCCTAAGCCCACTATTAAATCAGGAAACTTCAGCCCAGGGCAGAAATTACTGCGAAAACAGACAAAATGGAAAATGAAATCCGTCCTGTCCTCTGACGTCACATGAACTTGGGCACGACCGCTGTCACTGAGGACGGGTTTTTCCACTCAGGAGAAAAGAGCGAACGCTTCAAGTGACCCGAACGCACCCCACGCGGGTAGGGTGCTCGGATCACGCTATCTGGATAGACCATAAATCAAGCAGCTTTTGAAAGCACGCACTTAGCTCCCACCGGCTCAGGCTTAGTCGAGGACTTCGCCCACCAATGCCTGAAAATGAACTTCTCGCAAGAATGAAGGAAGTATATGCACTTAGAGAACGTGGGGATATTCTGCATGATTTGAAGCGCGTTTATAAAGGTGGACAAAATTAGTGGAACAAAAAACAGAATTATTTTATGTTTACAAGATGGAAATACAACAAGACTTCTACGTACATGGTCGATCACGGGGCGTGGTCTGATGCAAAATACTTGTTGTATTCTTACAGGGTGACGATCAGGGCAAATTACCCAATATTTATAATATCGTGACCTCCTTTGAGCTCAAATAAAAAGGGATTCGCTGACTGGACTGATCCCTTCTAACGCAGTACTACATCTGTCGATGGGATTTCCAATGATGAGGAATTCTTCAGATGCAACAAGCCGTTAGCAGTTACTAGAACAAAGCTTAGCGCATAGTTGCATTGCTTATGGAAACAGTGCTGAGACACTCCTTAAGCTTTTTACGTTCGTGCGTGCGTGCGTCGTGCGTCCTTTTGTATCCCAGTGCGTGGTGTCAGATGACACTGGCCGCACTTCTGCACTTGTCCACGGTGTAATCACCGCATCCGTCCACAACAAGGAGTCACTGTCATACGTTTCATCGGGGCTTTTCGACACACTAAGCTGCTGGCGCTTTATAGCGCCACCTACCTCTTACCACGGCAGGAAGCGCAGACGGCTCTGGAAATCGAGCTTTGTGCCTCTGCTTTTCCAGACGCGCAGCTTAGCCAGTACGCTGTCGGCCCGCGCATTGCTGCCATATCAACAGTCAGATGAATATGCACACAAAGCACGCGAATTTTTGCGACAGACTAATCGTTCGCTATTCGCTTGGGACCGCGAATGGCGGTCAT